CCCTTATTATTTTTTTTCTTTTATTGTAATTGATATTAAAATCTAAAATGACGATGACGACGGCAACGATTGTGATGGTGAATGACTTCACGTACCTGTTTTCTCCTCCCTTTTGGAAGGCTCCAAAGCCACCTTCCAGTCCTCCTCTTGAAGTGAACTACTGACCTCGGGTTCACGAAGAGCCAGATCGGGAGCCGCTTTAGCATCCAACGGTAGTAAATCAAGAGGCACAACCTGAGAACGACCATCACCTCGTAACCACCGATTGCACAGAAAGTACCACCCTTGAGGTGATAAATGGCTGCCTTCTGGAAGCACTTCCGCCACATAAATCCACTCACAATGCCAAGCTGCAGCAGGCATTCGGTTGTCGTGCCACAAACGACAGCCTGTTAGTTCACCAAGATTGGGTAAATTTTTGACGGTGAATTGATCCATCTACAAGAAAGGAAGGCAGCATTGATGTGGTGCCACCTTGGTCCACCTTCCAATTCTTCTCCTTCTTCTTCACCTTTGTAACTTGGCCAATGAATTTTATTTCTACCGTCGGCTCTATTTATGCCAAAGGAGGTAGTCAAAACAAACAGTCGACCTCGCCATTTACTTACTACCACCTGAAGCATGCAAACTTAAACACTGAAACACATTTCAGAGACACCTTTATGCTGAAAAGTGAGGTGTAAGGAGGTAACAAAAACAAAAACAAAAAAAAGAAAAACATTAAACCTGATTTCTTTCAAAGGGAGTTTTGTTTGTCTCAGACTCCTTCAAGTGAATGTCTGCCGACTCAATGACTTCACCAATCAGACGGAGGTAGACATTTGCAGTGGTGTTGGCATTGGGCAAATTCGATGTCTTTATACGGATCTTATAGGATATTACTAAAAATGAAAAAGGTTATTCTTTAGACAAAAAAAAGGAATTGACTAATTGAGTGTAGCATCGCTTTTAGGACAAACAATAGAGCGACACAGTGCTGTTTAGTCGACCTGAAGGCTTAGCCGGCGGATGACAGGTGAGATCACAGCACCGATAGGTCTGTCGATTGTCTTCTTCAAATCGCCATTCAGTGAAGTAGTACTGTTTACTGGTCATTTCATCATCTCGTTGAAGAATTGCACCA